CAACATTTGCATACATACATGTATCATAATGAAGTAAGAACAAACATACAACACACAATCATAGAATCACAACCATCACATACCTCGAAACAAGCTTGAAACCCTAAGAAACTCGATTCTTCCCCTTCCGAATTCGTTCTGCTTGTTCTTGGTCTACAAACAATCAATATAATACGGGAATCAATAAACAATCACCAATTACCCTGATTACTAACAATTCTAACAACCCTAGATCATACACATGATCCCACTACCCAAATCAGGGCTTTTTCCACCATAATTCTCATATCAAAACTCTCCTCCATCGATATTTACCCATTAAATTACGTTCTACGGATCGAAAAATGGATTCGGGGAGTTAAAATCTTACCTTTAGCCTTAAAGATGGTGGAAAACTGTCAAGAATCGCCTGGGATTAGTCTCCTTACTCTCAAAGTCGAAAAGTGCAGAATAAAGATGTTTTGGAATTTATTTCCAACTTAGGTCGCGTCGGGCCCGCCACAACAATCCCCACCCCGCTACAGCGTCCCCGCCCTAGCGACAGAAATCACCGCCAAAGCGGCTTGCATGAAACAATGAGCTATTTTAATAATTCCAATAACCCCATTTCACAACACGCCTTCAACCAACGACATTCAGAAACTACCCGTTCACGCTAAGATCAATTTCAGAAGTTCTACTGATCACTCGAATTCAATTCCGTAAAGTCGTACGGATTCCTTAAAAACTTATCTATCTACTCATGTGATCAAATTCATAATTACATCACCCAATTATTACCAGAATTCCCTAGACTTTAATGACTCCAATTTCGCCCAAATCTGGACTAGGTTGGGAAATTCCAAGTTACTGCGAAAAAGTTTTCCGACCCAAAATTTTCCCCATTGGATTTTCTATAACGACGGAACCCGGTCGTTACATCCTGCCGATCAATAATATTTTCATATAATTCATTCTAGAAAGAGATCAATCAATCTTGCGAGTTATTTTATTTTTTCTCTTACCGAAGATTACATGATCCAAATTTTCAACCTATTCAGGGTGTATTCGATACGAAGGAATAATGGGTTGGGGTTGAGCAGTTTGGGGTATATTTTGTATGGGTTATTTTAAGAGTTTTCCTTACGTAATTATACGTGTGATAAAAAAATCAATAAAAATGATCGTATTTATATGTAATGATATTTTATAAATAATGTATAACGATGTATATATGATGTAATATTATGTATTTGAGATGTATATACATCAATATACATTGTTTGTATAATATATATACATTACGACAGTTCATCTCCTTGTTGAGTGGATTTTCTTTTCAATCCCAACCAACTTAAATCTCCTTCAAGCAATCTCAAATTTTATATATTTTGATATATTATTCACTCGAAATGATTCACATTTACTGCATGTAGAAAAAATTTCTTTAGCAATTGTTGAAAATTTTAGCGATTAAGCAAAACACAAGTGAATATATTTTAGTTTAAATTTAATAAATAACATATTTAAGAATGATATTACTAGTTATAACATGACTTTCTCATTTTCAAGATATAACATTAGATTTCTAACAAATAATAAATTAATAAAATAAATAAAAAACGGAAAATAGATTAAAATAATGTTTAATCAACTAATTAATAAAATATTTTCCTTAAATATAGTATTCTATAAATGATAGGATATCAATACCATGATTTTGAGTCCAATTTTGATGGCACTTTTTGTTTAGTTTAGCAACGATGGAGATTTGATTTTCCCGATAGGTAACTTACAAAAATTTCACTAGTTTAGACACAAGCTCGTTTGTTATATAATGAATTTTATCAGATCTTGGTGCATTTAGATATATGTTTCTTAGATTATATGGGGTCAAAATTAGGTGTAATTTGTTTTAGATACATTGTATCCAAATGTATTCACATATATTTGAGATAGATAAAATTCCCTCCCTTTCATCTTATTCGTCACTCTCCTATCTTGCATGTGTATCTGGTATCTCAGATACATGTGAATTACATTAGATACATATATCTGATGCGATACGAATATATTTGAGATACATAGACAAACCTCACTCCCCTCCCTCCTTAT